TTCAATGAGTTTGTTTTAGAGCTAGAGAAGTTTTAATCATAATAAAACAAAACAATATATTTTTAATATCAATGAAATGTTATTTATTAGATAGAAAACATACCGATATTAATATTTAAATATTTTATTTAATTTTTTATATTTTGGTCATCCAATTTTCACAATCATGAGCAGCATCGTTTTTGAAGACACATTGAACAATGACTTCGGCCGCCTATAAAGCGCACAAAACTGTGCATTTTTGGATGTAATGGTGTTTCTGCTTATTTACGTAACCATTTATCTAGAAATTAGCTACATCATTGTGTATGTCATGAAACGATAAGTCAGACGAACAGAACCATTATTTTGATAAGAACTTAAGCAATTTGCAGGCATTGTTCTGTTGTAAGTCCATTTACAGTGAAATGTGGAGGCTAACTCACCAAAAAAGAAGTCGGGATGCCCGACTAAGAGATACCCTGTTCCCAGTTGTATCTGCGTTTTCTAATATTTTCCATTATTTGTATCGAGTATTAAAATAAAACATGTAAAAACTGACTGTCGAATGACAGCAACATTCGAACCCACAATTTTTACGCAACGCGCATCAACTCTACCAACACCTCCACTCCTAATTAAAAAAAAATAAAACAATAAAAAATGTCTCAGCGCCGCGAGGATTGAACCCAGGGACTAATCGCTGACGCTGACTGCACTGCTTAAACAAACAGTTGCAAATTTGAAGTTAATTCAAGCACAATTCAATCGCAATTTCGATGCTTCGAATAGACAAGAATACACGCATTTGAATGGATGTGTGCACATGCATAGGAAAAATGCGTGCGCTGCTAACGTGCTTTTGCAAATTGGCCAAACGTTCTGTTTAATAACTTCTTTGTACTTAATGGATTTTAATGAAACTCTCAGCATATGATCTACATATTCTTGGTTGAGGTACAAACGCCTTCACATAATGGACCTTTTTTAATCTGAACTTAAATTTTAAGAATTTGGGGAAATTTGGAGCAGGTATTCAAAGTCCAATAAAAACCAAAATTGCTCAAAATATACATAAAACTAAATAGAAAATTTGGAGTCTCCAGCTCTTAAGACGTACGAGATATAATTTAATAACTGCATTTCTATAAGACTCGTTCTCACATACGGACAGGGCTCAATCGACTCGGCTTGTCTTCCTGATCAAGAATACATTTATATCGGGTCTGCCATGCCTCCTTCTGCCTGTTACATACATTTGCACCAAATCATTATACTCTGATTACCCACTTACAATGAGATCAGGGTATAGCAAGTATCGGATGTTAAATGGGCTTTCAAATCAAACAATGTTGTCAACTGAAAGTTGGGAAACTCAAAAAAAAAACCAACTTTTAAATTTAAATTAGTAGAGTCATGAACAGGATTTCCGTAATATATAATTTATAAGAAGTCGAGAATTATCTCAATGTTTGAAGCTGCGACTGGAATCTTGATCTAGTCTAATATATTTTGCAGCACTTATTTAAGGCTACACGAATCTCGAGTCGAGTTAAGATGGCTTATATTTTTAAATAACATAAGCATCGTAAGAATTTGAGTGTGCTCTTGCTCTATCAACAAAAAAAAAGCAACATTTATTGAATCTTTTTTCACCTTACTCGAGATACTTTTATAATGAAGTCTTTTTATGCTTAAGCCTTATATTTATTGTTTGCGATTCTGATTCGGCCATTAAATCGCCGCTAATTACCGGGCAAAGTTAAACAAAAATCAGCGAAAAGTCAGCTTTCAATATGGTGTGGCATATGCTCAGATAATTAATTAGTGCTCGCTCGAGTGATTGGTAAGAAACGACGACGGCATGGGCCCAAACAATTAGCCAAGCTTCGGGTCTGGCCCGGCACAATGGCAAGCAATGATGAAGCAGCCTGTGCAGCGTTTGCTTGATTTTCATTTGGTCAACTGGGCAGGCAGGCTGGCCGCCAGTTCACAACTTGCTGCTGCGCTCACATCAAGTGGGCGTGGTAGATTTACTTTATATACTAAAAACGTTTTTATTTGCTTTGCTGCCCTTTGCCTTTGCTTCAGTATTATTTCTGTTGTTGGCTGGCTGGTTGGCTGGCTGGCATACTTGTGCGCTTGTTTCTCGAAAAATAATGACTGCACATTAAGTATACGTCAAACATGGCACACGCACAAGTGCACACACACACACACAGTTAGAGCAAGCATGTCGCCCTAACATAAAGCAAGTAAAATGTCAACAAATGACAACAGAAATATGATGCAAATGGCTCATGTAAGTGGTTCTTGCCGCTAACATTTATAAAAAGGGACAACTGACAATGCAGCAACGACAACATAGAAACATTCACTGCTTATGGGAGTGGGTGTCGCCGCTGTCTGCTTATTTCGAGAAATAAAGCTTCAAAGTCTGCGCTTACAAATGCATATTTGTAAGTACAAGAAGTTGTGTTTTACTTAGAAATTTGTCATTTAACGCCGCTCCAATGTGCGCTGTGGAAATTAGCTGGCATGCAGGAATCGCGCATACGCCACCTTGGCCTCATTGGAGTGAGCGCAAGGGAGCTCGTGTTAAGAGCAATTTCCATGTCAACGAATGGGTTTGAGTCGGCTTGAAACTCCTTTACTCCAATGCCTCTCCCTCTCTCACCGCTCTCTACATGGCAATTAAAAGCACATTTAATATAAATTGTTTGCGCGCGTTGCGTTCCGCAATGCAAGGACACGCAAAACAAAGTCTGAAATGTTTCTCCAGCATTTAACATTCGTTGGCTTTAAGGACTACATGAATGACATTTTGCTAAGATTCGCTTAGCACCCGAGTAGTGTGTCCACAATTAAGGAGCTGAGCGTGTAGCAAAAATGCATAGGGCCCTCGTCTGGCCTGTTGCTAATCTACGTTATGTGCGTTAAATCAGCAGCCTTATCATCATTATTTGTACAAAATAATACTGGCTAAAGCACCACACACACAATTTGCCGATTTGTGGCTAGCAAAATGCCCCAAAGCCAGAGCCTGTCTGCCCGTCAGCTTGCCAGTCAGCTTGGTCAGTCAGTTCGTTCAGTCTGTTAGTCAGTTGGTCAGTTAGACCACACTTGACCGCATTGATATTCCATGCTTGATGCGCGCTGCTGTTGCGATTGGTCATTGATGCTGCTCTTTGCTGGCTGCTGCTGCTGCTGCTGGGCTACTAACGATGGATGTCCTTAAGCCAATATACACAGCCATACACCCACACCCACAGCCCCATCCATACACAAGCAAGCTGTGTGGACAGTGCTATACAAAAATATTTATCTATATGGCGATATATAGCGAGTCTCTGCCAAAAATGTTGCCGAAGCAACGGCGAAGCTTTGTTAACTTTTTACGTTTAATGAAATCAATTCACAAGTCACGTTGCTGCCGGACAATAAATACATCAGAGTCCATTTAATAAAATCATGATGTGCACTTTGCTATGATATACGAACACATACATACTCTATAAATACATACATACATATATATATATATATATATATATATATATATATATATATATATATATATGTATATATAAATAATATAATTTATATATATACGTATCGATTCTATATATTGCAAACAACTTTTTATCTCATTGGAATGCCGCATATGGCTTGGTCATATAGCAGAGGATGGCCTTCTCAACCAAAAAAAGGAAACTTTTCTCTCCTTGTGTGTTTGTGTTACTGCGTGTGTGGGCTTGTGTGGGTATTTACCGAGCTCTATATCAATATCAATTGCGCGATAAGTGCAGCGCCGCAAAACCTTAAATCAAAATCCGCATGAACAACTGCTTTGGCTCTGTGGCAATTTGTTGTGGCTTTTGGCTTTCATTTTCAGCTCATTATATACATAAATATCATTGTATATGTAGCCAGAGAATTTCGCAAACTCATTCTTATTTGGCAAGGGTGAGTTCCAAAGTATGTAGTATTAAATTCTGCGGCCTTAGGTAATTTGTTCGACATTTGACTTAAGTTCCGATAATCATTGCGAACATGTTTATCGCACTTGATGGCAGGGCCTATGCGAATATTTTGCTATAGATATTTATGATTTCTGAAAGTGTTTAAAGGATTAAGGCGCAATAAATGGAAGGCGGATTGATTGAAATCGCATTTGTGATGACGTCTGTCAAATGTACTCAAATGTGTGAATAAAAAGAATGTTTGATGCGTATTTTATTTATATAACACATATTTCTCTGTGTTATATAGCCCGAAAATAGTTTCAAAATATTACGAAAATAGTTTCAAAATATTAAGGCGAATTTTGCTTGACCTAAGACTCCAAATCAAATCTGACTTCACTTACTATAAGTTCCATATATCTTCCTTATAAATCAAATCTTACTTCACTTACTATAAGTTCCATATATCTTCCTGATTAATCAAATCTTACTTCACTTACTATAAGTTCATTATATCTTCCTGATAAATCAAACCTTACTTCACTTACTATAAGTTCCATATATCTTCCAGATAACTATTTTAGCTGTCATACATTCAGTCGCTGATAACGACTTTGGATGACAAATAGTGGGTTGAAAACTGTGCCCAGTATTTGCCTGTATTTCAGCGACTTAGCAATACGCCTGCGCAGTACACAACGTGCTGCTATTCGACTAGCTATTTGATAATATACTGGTATTGGTGTTATCAAATAAAGCAGACTGCCTACTGACGTAACTGTGCTACGCGCAGCTGTTGTTGCAGCTCTCTTTGGGCCATAGCCACAGCCACAGCCACAGTTAGGTTCGATTTGCAATTTTTCGAAATACTCTCTCTTAGTTGGACACGAATTGCAGGCTTCGTATCGCATTTCGTTGTTCAGATGCGGACGAGCGTATGCCAGACGAGGCGAATGTTGCTTCGGTCTCGGCGAAGCACGAAGCCATCTGAATGCGTGCAGCCTCCTCGCCTATCTAACGCGTGGCACGCAAATCAGTTGGTAGATGCGTGGCGAACGTTGAATTTAACGGTCGGTTTGGCAGTGAAAGTGGCAGAAACGTTGAAGTCTATTGTCTCAGAACAGCACAGAGAAGTGTCCAGTACGTTGTCATAAAAACATCATAATAAAGTCAAATAAAAAGTGAACTCGTATAACAAGTAATAACATTCGATAAAGTGCCGCTAACTAAAGAAGTGATTGAGTAAATTCGTTAAAAAAATATTAAAAACTTAAGAAAACAACAGAAGTTCATTTATCTACTAACAGGCAGTTGCCACGGAGTCTCATCGTCTTCAAGCAGCTGGTAAATATGCGCTTTAAGTTTTGTGCACTATAAAGTTGAATACATTATGGCCTTTTGGGGTAGTTTAAACATTTCGCACACATAGCGCTCGCATTAAATTATATATTTTGTGTTGTGGGTTATGCTACAACCGGCATACGCGTCGTATACGCAATCCGAGTTTGTTTGCGACTAAGTGGCTGACTGACTGACTGCGTGCCAGCTGGCGAGTTTATTTTATTGGTTTGTTGTTTGTTGGTTCGTTGCTTTGCCATTGCCTTGTTAGTTTATTTGTTTGTTTACCCTGCTTAAATGCTAAAAGCCAAAGCGCTACAAGTATACGTCTGAAGGCACAACAATTTTTATTAATTTGTATTATGCCTGAAATAGTTTAAGCGTCCAAGTCGGAACTTGGTCGTTGCCTGTTTCGTGTCCATTTGGCTTCATCAATTGCCAACTTTTGCTAAATGATTGTTGATTTTGTTTGATCTGTCTTGCGATGTTGTTGTTTACAGCTGTTGCCATGACTTTGCCAATGCTCTTGATGTTGTTTTTATTTCATTTTAGTGCTTTGCGAAAGTCAACATTCGTTAGCTAAAATTTTACTCACGTTCCATTCGACCGAGTTCTCAATTTCATGAGTTTTGGTGTTGTTCGGTTTTATTTGTTTAGCTGCTTAGTCCTCGCTGTCTACGTCACTTTTCCTCTCTGTCTATCGCTGTTCCCTTCTCTTTTTAATACCAACAGCAGTTCTAATACTCAGTTCCAATTCCATTTCTATTCCTGCTTCAACTCGCTCCTTATTTGTTTTTCTCAACTACATAGTGTTATTTACTTACTATACTTATGCACACATACCGCTTCCTATATGAGCACACTTAGATATATGTATATGTATATTTTGCGTCACTTGTGCATTGATATTTGTTGCTGCTGGTGTGTTGTGGCTCTGTCCTTAAGATTATTTATGTGGTGATTAGCTCTGCTGAATTATTGCACAAATTATCAAGTGTGCTATAAAATTTCACTGCTATTTATTTGCACAACTTTTAGCGTGGATCACGTACCACGCCAACAAGCCAACTTCAACCCCTCTCTCGCACCCCAACCCCCCAGCCATTGCGCATCCCACTCGCGCCTCATGAGTATCATTTGGCTTTGGGCTTAGTGCGTGTGAGTGTAACAAATGGCGCAAGTTTGATTTTAAGTTGTGAAGAATTGGGAAATAAAGTGAATAGTATTAATTATACGAGATATAACTTGGCTAAGATAGAGTGTTTATACGACTGATGATTTTTTTATATCAAAGCATTGCAAGTGATGTCTTTAATTAGCATTTGGCTTGCATGAGCAACTGGCCGATTGGACTAACAAGCTTAAATACTTACGGAGATTTATTATTCTTCTTCTTTTGTATCCGTTAAAATTAACCCTGAGTCATTTTATTTCCACATTTGTTCAAGAAATTTAGGGATTAAAGGTTCTGACTTATGTAATATAAATTATTATGTATAACTTATCCATATAATAATTTTTGAATAAATGTTTTTTAAATAAATATAACTATATTTTTTTATGTTTTGGGTTTTAATATGTGTATAATATATATATATATATATATATATATATATATATATATATATATATATATATATATATATATGTAAATATACATAAATATTATATTATTCATTTTGTTGTAGTTATTAATTTTGGGGAAAATTAATTTGAATTTGAAAATTATTTTTAATTTTCGCTTTGTTTCTGACTTAATTTTGTATTTTCCCTTAGAAAACAAAAGATGATGGTATATAGATTAAATTTCAATTTTAAATACAAATAAACTGAACAAAATAATAAAAAAGCATAAGTAAAAATCTATTAAAGTACCCATTAAATATTATACAGACAGTACTCTTTTGAAGTTTATCTATTAAGTTTATGATTATACAATTTAGTGGGAAATTGGAAACTAACTAAATTTTAATAGCCTTCCTTCTTCGAGTTTATTCAAGACATTCAATAGTGGTATGTTCACTTACTTTTGAAATTGTTAGAATTCATGTTTAATTTACTAAATATCGCTTGCAGAACTCAAGTTTGGTTGAGCTCAACTGGCTTGACAACTAATTGCCTGAGCTCTGAACATATTAATTACATTGAAATAAACACGAGTGAAGAGAAACAAACCTTGCCACAGACAGCATCAACAGCAATACCACTAGACAGTGCCAAAACAAAAGCAACTTAATTCAATACAACTAACGACTTGATGGCTACTTTAAGCTGCTTACAATAATGCTCACACACATAAATACACACACAGACGCATAGCCAATACCGAGCATGGGTTATAAATTTCAATGAATTTGCCACCAAAACAAAATCATTAACTTCGCTGCAAAACCAATGAATGTACATGAACAGCAAATTTCACTTTGTTGTGGCAGCAAACGGCGTGGGCCCTGAAGTGGCCAGAAGGCAAAGGGCCAGTGGGCCTGTGGGACAGTGGCACAGTGGAGCAGTGGGGCAGCGAGACAGTGCGGCATAGTGGGCGTTTTCAGCTCGATTTCGGTAGAACATTTTATTTAGACATTTAGGCATGGTCACAAATTGGTATGATATCACAGTGTAATGAAAGTTAAAGCCAAATTTAATGCTGGGATTAGCGATAACAGCGATGGGCATGAAGTTGACGTCTGGTGGCTCGTCCAGCCGTTTGCATATGCCAAATGCCTAATGATTTATGACTGCGACCAACCAGAAAGTTACTGGCAACCCCCTCCTTCGCACCACTCACAGAATGACTGCTGAAATGCGCTAAAAAAAGGCAGCAGCATGCCACAAGAGTCGGGTCAGTTTGTTGGGGAGAAAGGGTGTGCGTGGTTCCACAAAGTAAATTCAATTTTACGTTTCACAACTCAGCATGATTCCTATCAAAGTTGAGGCTGCCTTCGTAGCCGAGCCCACCCGTTGGCTGCCCACATCATACACCGCAACCTGATTACCTCGGTTCTGCCAGTGTCCCTCATGACACTGTGTGTATGTGTGTGCTGTATCTACTTAGGTCTAAGCGTTATTGTGGGCAGCCCAACAGCAAGCAAAATACAAAAATAACAAAATTGAAAAAATAATAAAAACAATCAGTGAAAAACTTGTTAAGCATCAAAGAGCACTTTCCCAATGCTCCACGAAAGTTAAGCTTACTTTTCGTGTATATAATTTAAATACCCTGTAACTGCACGAATGTGTACGAATTCAGAAGAAAATTTTTTCAGATATCGCAAGCCGAAGCAAATTCAAGAACAAATAACGCAAACCTAAGAGAAAATCTATACTATTTTCGGTCTCTCTTGTTTCCTGAAATTTAGATTGAAACTGCAAAGAAATGTGCATAGCATACTTTTAAGAGAAGACGTAAAATATGAATTGCTGTTATGTTGTAATCTCATTTACTTTGTTATCTGTGCTCTGCTCAAAGATCAATCGAAATTCGGAATTTATATACAATGTTATTGCCAACGGACCTTAGCTGCTTCAATCTACTTTTTATGTTATTTTTTGAAACTTTCAAGGGGGTATTGTGGCGCTGTTGTTTGAAAGGGAGTTTCGGACTTTCAACAAATTAGTTGCTAATAGCTTTCACTCAGAAAAGTTGATGCAACTTTAATGAGCGGCGCTTGTAAATTGTTGTTAATACGGGAAATTAATAAGTCAAGGGGCCGTCAGTTGGCAAAGTGAAAAGTTGAATCAATTGAGAAAGTTGCCAAGTTTTAGAGCGTAGTATTAAGTATGTAATAGCCAAAGAGCTTTTTAGCATTAGAGATGAGCTGTAAGCACAGTCAAGGCGAACTAACCGGCTCTGCTGGCTCTAAAGGCATCGATTGCAGTCGCGCTTTATTTCCACTCGAGCCAAGAGCAGTCGACTGTAAAAATATTGGCAAATGTCAGAAAAATCAAACACTGCTAGCATTTGACAAAAATCCTTATCATCCTTTGTGCACAAATTGACATTGCACTTGTAAGGCGATTGGCGAAACGTTCACAAGCAATTGAGAGCAGAGCGAGCGCCTCCCATCGCAGTGAGCATTTCAACTGGAAATCTGTGGCTTTGTTTTTTCTACCAATATTTTAGCACTCTGCAGCTCAATGCTGACTTATTATAGTTCACGGCATGCAGCAGCGCCTCCTGTCTGGGGTTATGCCTTTAGCTTGGCAGTTAGGCACGTCTTTTGCTCGAGTGACAAACAGCTCATGTTGCAGGCACAAAATTAAAATTCATAATGTTGATTTTAATGGAGTTAATGTTGAAATATTCATGCTGGCGGTTTAGATGCCGCACATCGCATAGATTAGCTGCCTCGAACGGAATCTTGGCATGGCAATTGCCTGGCTTCCAGCCTCACATTTTATTATGCGACACGCAAACACTTCGGATACCTTTAGAGATACCAGACCCCCCACGCAGAACTTTGACGTTATTAAATTATGCGGAGATTTGCGCATTTTTTCTCTTTTTTGGTCTCTTGACGTTTTAATGATGAGCCAGCATCAGAGCCGGGCCCTCAGCCCAATGTCTACTGACTGCTTGACTAGGCCAAAATTAAATTATTTTATTGCCGGAAATTCATTAAATCATGCTTTCACGCAACTTTCCTCACACATTTTCAGCATGCCCAAGTAGCACTGAAAATTGAAGCTCTCTCCGTACATCCGTCAATTTGGCGCCCTGTTGGGTTTGTTTACTGCTGATAGACGGCTACGGCTATGGCATTGATTGAACCAGAGGCTTTTTGGCTTTTATTAGTACGTGCCGTTGTGGCCATCTCAATGCTAAATGGTTGGTTGCTTTAAATATGGGCATTCGAACCCGAGAATTGGATATTTCTTTTTCAGCTGCGCTTTAAAGCGATAATCCTGGGCAGACAAAATACGCAGAAGCTAAGGCCGCCAGTCACAGACAGGACAGTTTTATTTATGATTTTGACATGGAGCGCCTTACAAGTGGGTGGCGAGCCAGA